GGCAGGTGGAAAAAGAGAAGCGGGGGGGTTGGGTGGGGGGGGGGGGGGGGGGAGTATATTACCAGGCAAGTTTAAAATTTCTCAATTGGCTATTTATAAAGTTAACATTTTTATATCAAATATAACTCACAATATGCTTTACCAAGTTTTTACATTTTAAAAAATAGATCCACCTGCAAGAATCTGGTATTTACTTAACAGGCTGCTCTTCTTAAAAATGATGCAGAACATCTTTTGAGTTTTGACATGAAATGGATATAATTACCTACCCTTCTCTCCTTTCTGGCCTTTTGGACCTTGGGGTCCAGGGACTCCTGGTGGCCCTAGGATTCCCATATCACCAGCTTCTCCCTTAAAACCTGGAAATGAGATTTAAAAACCATGAGGGTAGAAAAATTCTCTTTTGAAATTCATTACTTCAAAAAAAATCAGTCATTTTATTGAGGCCAATGACTGTCAGTGTCCTAATGATAAAATCTGGGTGAGAATAAACAATTACAGAGTTCTAAGGACAATATTTTTGTCTGATTTGCAATTTTTCACTACCTGAATAGATAAATTGAGCCCATTAGTACTTGTCACTGAATTCATGGCAGTGATCAAATGATTCAGAGAAGCAGTACTATATCAAACAACAAGAAAAGATGATTATCTGACTCTTAACCTCATGTGGACCACACTTTCAAATTGGAAGTAAAACCACAATACCTAGCACTTTTGGTTTTCCCATTCCTTCACTTAAGTACTCATTCAGGAAAAGTTGCTGAGCCTCCCTACACACCAAGCATCCTGCTAGGTGTCAGGAATCAGCCATCAACATTCCAGCAGTCCCCTCCCTCATGGAGCTGAGAGTCCATGAAAGATAAACATGAACAAATAACCACACAAATAAATAGAAGTGGCCACACTGTTGTTAGTTATGTAAAGAAAAGAGAAAGTTCCTATTGCAGATGGTGGTTTAAAAAAAAAAAATGATTTATGGGATCAGAGGATACCTCCTGGAAAAAAATGTCATTAATCTAAGACCCAATGAACAAATTAGAAATTTCTGAGACAAAGAAAAAAAAAAAAAAAACATAGATGAGTATTTCAGGAAAAACAAGAGTAGAAAAGACCATGGTGTTTTTAAGAAACTGAAAGAAGAGCACCGTGGGCGGAGCTAGCGATCAAGGTAAAAGAGGCTGAGGGGCAGGCGAGGGGCAGATGGTGCAGGACTCAGACCTCACTGGTGTCCTCACTCATCCCAGCAGACAAGGTCCCTTCCACTTACCTGGGCCACACAGACACCCAAGCCTAGGACAGTTATCGTTCCTGCAACCCCAGCCCTGTTCAAGCTTACGGACTGTTTCACAGTCCCTGATTGGAATAATTTATGGCCAGGTTCTTTGAAAGTTAACCATATAAATAAGTACACTCAATTAAATTGTAATCTTTCATCTTAATTATTATAGTTAAGTTGATGGGATGGAGAAAATTACTTTCAATCTGTTGAACTTCCTCTTTGAAAGAACACTGTATTTGTTTAGATGAAAAGCTTTAATAAATTGCATGCAATGGAGATTAAGGCTGAAGGCAAGCTTAAGAAGCCAAAGTGGTGGTTAAGCTCTTCTGTCTAAAAAAGAAGGAAGAGCAGAGAGGAAAGGAACGGAGAACAAAGAGCAGGGGAGGCAGAAGCAAGCAAAATGATCAATTACAGTTCACTGTGCAGTGACCCCCCTTCCTCATGACCCCCAAATGCCCAATGTGGTTATGAGGGAAACACACAGGGAGCACACAGCAACTGCCTGCAAGGGCACAAGGGGCAGGCAGGGTGCCCCTTCCATCTAGGCAAGGTGTACATCTTGGTTAGTTTAGTGTAAATATCGGAAGGCTGGACCTAATGGAAGAGCTGGGGCTGGAGGGTGCACAAACAGAGTTTGACATCAAGTTCTATACTCTCAGTTGCTATAACCTCTAGAATTACCTGAAACTCTCTGAAACGCAATTAAATTATCCACTGAAATGTAATAATATTTTAATCATTTTCTACAAAGATGAGAAACAACATAAAGTGCTTAACAGTTCTTGGTACATAGTAGGTAACTATTATATAACTGAATTAATGAGAGAAGCTGGAGATAAAATTTCAAATGGAATTTTACCTTTACGAGCTATTAGATAGAGCTGAGCTGTATACTTCAAAACACTTTCATTCAGAAACTCTGTAAAATTAAGCTCATAACTTTTAAAGTCGACATTTATTATTCACATTACAGTAGATAACACAAATGTGATGTATGTACTATGTGTGTTAATTAATGTATGTAATAAGCTGAGCTCTAAGAACAGTGCAGTTAAATCCACCACTGGGTAAGACAAAAGCCCTGATGCTACGACTTATAAGACAGTTTAGCAACCAGCTGTGTTTACATGACCCCCTCCCGCTCCCTGCTAGCAGCTTGCCAGACATGATACTAAGAGAAATCCTGGTAAATATAATTTTCTCAGTCTAACTAGATCTCCAGTGATGTTTTGGCAACCCTGAAATCTTGGTTCCCCAGACCCCTGCCCAGCTTCTTTCCCATTCAATACCACCTCCACATAAACACTGATCACATTTCCCAAAAGCTTCCTGAAATGGGATAAAAAGCTTAATGAGGATGCAGAATTCCTGATTTTATAACTTTAAATTCTTCAGGTAAGACACAACAAATATTTATATGTAATTCTTTCAGGGAATAGTGGATGTGAAATTGACATTCTGATCTCACTTTTTCCTTGAATTCTCTGCTGTAGGAAATGTGAAAGCTGAACTGTATTACAATAAAAGTGAGAGTATATTCATACTGTATACATGAAAGACATATGAAATTTTAAAATATTTAACATGACGTTCAATAGAGAAAATTTCTGGGCAAGGAGACTGTGTTGCCTCAGAATATCAATGAGAAGTTAACTGAATCCTGCCTTTATTCTCCACCTCACAGGCATTCCATTTCTAATCCTAACTACAAGTAGCACTCCAAAACCCCATCAGTCAGTACACATTCTTACCAGACCACAGAATTTTCACTTACCCTATTTACATCATCCATTAATGAAAAGATTGTGTAACTGGAAGGACTACACACCAGTGCTAGGGTTGGTAGGCCAGTCTCTGCTCTAACCAGCACCATCCAGTAGAATTTTCTGCAATTACGGAAATGCTCTATATCTGTGCTGCCCATTGGCCACATGTGGCTACTGAGCACTTAAAATGGGACCCGTGTGACTGAGGAATTGAATTTTTAATCTCATTTAATTTTAATATTAATAGCCATACATGGGGCTCTGGCTACCCCACTGGGCAACAGAACCCATTGCATTTGTCACAGTGTTACACCTAGGCTTGTCCCATTCGCATGACAATGTAGAAACCCTTGGGGCAATTCCACCACCAATACACCACCTCTCAACTCTAAGGATGTACAAGTAAGAAATATAGGGCCTCGTATATTTTCAAATACCTGGCTTTCCAGTCTCTCCAGGTTCTCCTTTTTGCCCTGATCCAGATGAACAACAATCACAGCAATTCAAGAAGAAATCAGCCGTGTCAAGAGTGAGGTTTTCAGAGGGGAAGAGGGCGGCAGCACCAAAGACAGAATTGAAAGCTGAGGGGTCAGGGGTTGGTTCTGCCATTTCAGCCACTTCTGTGAAGGGGGTTTCTTCTTCTTCTGGAGGTTGGCCACTGGATGGCTTTGGACCCTTTGGCATCTCTTTTCCCTCAGACTTCTTCGTGAATTTGGTATATGGTGTGGTCTTTACTATTGTGTCCACACCAGCAATAGCCAAGATAATTAAAATGACACAAAACCAAGAAAATATCCACATATTTGAGGCTGGAAGAAAGATATAATGGGAATAGATACATATATTACAAACAAAAAGACAAAGTGATATAGATATATTCTTATATGAGAGGAATATATATACATATATGAACCATAAGAATGAACAGTATGCATAATACTAAATAATTTTTATACATTTCATATGTAAATGTATGCTTGATTCACAATGGAATATTTTATTTACTTAAAGTATTTCTTGTAAGGAACATTTTGTTTCAATTCTCCTTTCTGGTTGTTTTCCCAGTGTTACATGTACTAAAATATTGTTTTCAATCATTAAAATTATCTTGCCAAAAAGCAAACATGATCTATAATAAATGCAACATGACTTAATAGCTCATATACCCTGTGGAAAACACATATGAATAAAATCATGACTGACTTCACCCAGATTTATAGGAATCAAATACATCTGTATTAGAGGGAGATGAAAAGTATTGAGCTGAAATGTTTATTTCAGCAAACTCAATTATTTCAAGAAGAAATACTGGTAAAATAGTGCTTAAATCTACTCAGGATAATGGTCTTGTTATGAGAACAATCTATTAAAATCTGTTGTAATAAATGGAGAGAGAGAATAAAAAATCATAAATTTAAATATGTGTTATGTCTTCAGAGTCTTCACATGCCATTTAACTCTCCAGTTCTTTGCTTAATAATTTAAGGGTTTTTTTCTGCAAACTCACATTTATCTTTGTATAATTTTAATGGGCCAAATAGTGGTTATTCTTATTAAGGCTTTTATCAGTGTTCAAAGGGATATAAGGTTCCTGATGAAATGAAACTTTGAGAGTTTATAATATTCCATTCCCCAGAAACTCCCAGCAGTCCAGTGGCTGCTAACAGATAGCCAGGGTTAGAAATGCATGATTTCTGATTAGAAAAGGAAGGAGTGTTTAAGATAAACAGTAAGAGAGAAAAGAGAATGGAAATAAGGATAGTAACACCTACTATTTAAAGAATCCTTAAAAAGAGTAGGTGCCTTATATTCATCAATCCAATCTGTTCTCAAAACAGCTCTGCCGAAGATGGCGGAAGAGTAAGACGCGGAGATCACCTTCCTCCCCACAGATACATCAGAAATACATCTACAGTGGAAGAACTCCTACAGAACACCTGTAGAACGCTGGTAGAAGACCTCAGACCTCCCAAAAGGCAAGAAACTCCCCCACGTACCTGGGAAGGGCAGAAGAAAAAAGAATAAACAGAGACAAAAGGATAGGGACGGGACCTGCACCAGTGGAAGGGAGCTGTGAAGGAGGAAAGGTTTCCACACACTAGGAAGCCCCTTCGTGGGCGGAGACTGCGGGTGGCAGAGGGGGAAAGCTTTGCGGCTGCGGAGGAGAGCACAGCCACAGGGGTGCGGAGGGCAAAGCCGGGAGATTTCCGCACAGAGGATCGGTGCCGACCGGCACGCACCAGCCCAAGAGGCTTGTCTGCTCACCCGCCGGGGCGGTCGGGGCTGGGAGCTGAGGCTCGGGCTTTGGTGAGAGCCAGAGCGCAGGGAGAGGACTGGGGTTGGCGGCGTGAGCACAGCCTGCAGGGGGTTAGTACACCACGGCTAGCCGGGAGGGAGTCCGGGGAAAAGTCTGGACCTGCCGAAGAGGCAAGAGACTGTTTCTGACCTCTTTGTTTCCTGGTGCGCGAGGAGAGGGGATTAAGAGCGCTGCTTAAAGGAGCTCCAGAGACGGGTGCGAGCCGTGGCTAAAAGCGTGGACCCCAGAGACGTGCATGAGACGCTAAGGCTGCTGCTGCCGCCACCGAGAAGCCTGTGTGAGAGCACAGGTCACTATCCACATCCCACTTCCTGGGAGCCTGTGCAGCCCGCCACTGCCCGGGTCCCAGGATCCAGGGTCCCGGGATCCAGGGACAACTTCCCCGAGAGGACGCACGGCGCGCCTCAGGCTAGTGCAACGTCACGCGAGCCTCTGCCGACGCAGGCCCATGCCGCACTCCGTGCCCCTCCCTCCCCCCACCCACCCTCGCCTGAATGAGCCAGAGTCCCCGAAGCAGCTGCTCCTTTAACCCCGTCCTGTCTGAGCGAAAAACAGATGCCCTCAGGTGACCTACACGCTGAGGTGGGGCCAAATCCAAAGCTGAGCCCGCAGAGCTGTGAGAACAAAGAAGAGAAAGGGAAATCTCTCCCAGCAGCCTCAGAAGCAGCGGATTAAAGCTCCACAATCAACTTGATGTACCCTGCATCTGTGGAATACATGAATAGACAACAAATCATCCCAAACTGAGGAGGTGGACTTTGAGACCACAATTTATGATTTTTTCCGCTTTTCCTCTTTTTGTGAGTGTGTATGTGTATGCTTCTGTGGGAGATTTTGTCTGTATAGCTTTACTTCCACCATTTATTCTAGGGTTCTATCCGTCCATTTTGTTTGTTTGTTTGTTTTGTTTTTTAAATATTTTCTCTTAATAATTATTTTTTATTTTAATAACTTTATTATACTTTATCTTACTTTATTTTATTTTACTTTATCTTCTTTCTTTTTTCCACTCCTTCCCTCATTCCTTCCTTCCTTCCTTCCTCCCTCCCTCCCTCCTTTCTTTCTTTCTTTCTTTCTTTCTTCTTCTACTAATTCTTTCTTTCTACTTTTTCTCCCTTTTATTCTGAGCCGTGTGGATGAAAGTTTCTTGGTGCTGCAGCCAGGAGTCAGTGCTGTGCCTCTGAGGTGGGAGAGCCAACTTCAGGACACTGGTCCACAAGAGACCTCACAGCACGACATAATATCAAACAGCGAAAATCTCCCAGAGATCTCCATATCAACACCAGCACCTAGCTTCACTCAACGACCAGAAAGCTACAGTGCTGGACACCCTATGCCAAACAACTAGCAAGACAGGAACACAACCCCACCCATTAGCAGAGAGGCTGTCTAAAATCATAATAAGTCTACAGACACCCCAAAACACATGACCAGAAGTGGACCTTCCCACCAGAAAGACAAGATCCAGCCTCATCCACCAGAACACAGGCACTAGTCCCCTCCACCAGGAAGCCTACACAGCCCACTGAACCAACCTTAGCCACTGGGGACAGACAACAAAAACAACGAGAACTATGAACCTGCAGCCTGCAAAAAGGAGACCCCAAACACAGTAAGATAAGCAAAATGAGAAGCCAGAAAAACACACAGCAAATGAAGGAGCAAGATAAAAACCCACCAGACCTAACAAATGAAGGGGAAATAGGCAGTCTACCTGAAAAAGAATTCAGAATAATGATAGTAAAGATGATCCAAAATCTTGGAAATAGAATAGACAAAATGCATGAAACATTTAACAAGGACCTAGAAGAACTAAAGATGAAACAAACAACGATGAACAACACAATAAAAGAAATTAAAAATACTCTAGATGGCATCAATAGCAGAATAACTGAGGCAGAAGAAGGAATAAGTGACCTGGAAGATAAAATAGTGGAAATAACTACTGCAAAGCAGAATAAAGAAAAAAGAATGAAAAGAACTGAGGACAGTCTCAGAGACCTCTGGGACAACATTAAACGCACCAACATTCGAATTATACAGGCTCCAGAAGAAGAGAAAAAGAAAGGGACTGAGAAAATATTTGAAGAGATTATAGTTGAAAAATTCCCTAATATGGGAAAGGAAATAATTAATCAAGTCCAGGAAGCACAGAGGGTCCCATAGAGGATAAATCCAAGGAGAAATATGACAAGACACAAATTAATCAAACTGTCAAAAATTAAATACAAAGAAAACATATTAAAGCACCAAGGGAAAAACAACAAATAACACACAAGGAAATCCCCATAAGGTTAACAGCTGATTTTTCAGCAGAAACTCTGCAAGCCAGAAGGGACTGGCAGGACATATTGAAAGGGATGAAGGAGAAAAACCTAAAACCAAGATTACTCTACCCAGCAAGGATCTAATTGAGGTTTGATGGAGAAACTAAAACCTTTACAGACAAGCAAAAGCTGAGAGAGTTCAGCATCACCAAACCAGCTTTACAACAAATGCTAAAGGAACTTCTCTAGGCAAGAAAAACAAAAGAAGGAAAAGACCTACAAATACAAACCCAAACAAGAAAATGGGAATAGGAACATACATATGGATAATTACCTTAAATGTAAATGGACTAAATGGTCCCACCAAAAGACACAGATTGGCTGAATGGATACAAAAACAAGACCCATATATATGCTGTCTACAAGAGACCCACTTCAGACCTAGAGACACATACAGACTGAAAGTAAGGGGATGGAAAAAGATATTCCATGCAAATGGACACCAAAAGAAACCTGGAGTAGCAATACTCATATCAGACAAAATAGACTTTAAAATAAAGACTATAAGAAGAGACAAAGAAGGACACTACATAATAATCAAGGGATCAATCCAAGAAGAAGACATAACTATTGTAAATATTTACACACCCAACATAGGAGCACCTCAATACATAAGGAAAATACTAACAGGCATAAAAGGGGAAATCGACAGTAACACATAAGAGTAGGCAACTTTAACATCCCACTTTCACCAATGGACAGATCATCCAACATGGAAATAAATAAGGAAACACAAGATTTAAATGATACATTAAACAAGATGGACTTAATTGATTTTTATAGGACATTCCATCCAAAAAACAACAGAATACACAATTTTCTCAAGTACTCATGGAACATTCTCCAGGATAGATCATATCTTGGGTCACAAATCAAGCCTTCGTAAATTTAAGAAAATTGATATTGTATCAAGTATCTTCCAACCACAACGCTATGAAACTAGATATCAATTACAGGAAAAGATCTGTAAAACATACAAACACATGGAGGCTAAACAATACACTACTTAATAACGAAGTGATCACTGAAGAAATCAAAGAGGAAATCAAAAAATACCTAGAAACAAATGACAATGGAGACACAATGACCCAAAACCTAAGAGATGCAGCAAAAGCAGTTCTAAGAGGGAAGTTTATAGCAATAAAATCCTACCTTAAGA